AGATAAAAGAAAAATACTTTTACAACTGATCAAGTATCAAATTTAGAAAAATGCGATTTATAATCGCATCGCTGTACCCATAAAAAGAATACATACTTGTGCTCTAACTCACACCATGCAGGTCTCTAGTATGTACATACTTAGATGAAAATTGAGTCTATAAATCGAAAACTCTTCAGGTTCTTTGATGTTTAATGCAGCAAATGATTCTCAGAATTTTGTTAACTTGCTATTTGGATAAACACACGTTTTATGAGTGCAAGGTGGATCAGCAAATGTGATAGCTATTATCCAAGGATTAGTAAAGCTTTATGTACACAAATTTCAATCATATCATTATGAGTTGCCGCATGTGCAGCAGGGAAGGCTAAACAGGGTGTTTGGCAATGTTTTCTGTGAATAACTAAGATGATAGCATTATGGGGCTAATAATGACTATAAATATGATTCAACGAACTTAATTGTAGAAGTGCGGTACTTTTTGGAAATAAAAAATTCATAATTACGAGTATTTTGCATAGTTAATTTTGACATTTAAAATTTGTTTTGAATATGTAATGTTATAGAATTTTCCATAATAAAGTGGAGGTTGGTCGTGAGTTTTTCCTTCCATGTAAAAAAAAGAAGAAAAAAGTACATACTTTGTGTTGAAAAAATGCGTAGGGGGCTACAAAACTGAGAACGGACAAACTAAATTTTTTTATTTATTAATTCTTTTTGTGATAAAAATTTGTTGAATTGTTATACATTTTGCAAAGTTTGAAAATCGGTCTTAAATGGCTTTTGTTATAGAATTTGCTATATAGCTATAAAAAAATTATGAATATTAAATAAAAAAAGAAAACTTTACTTTACTGAGGATCAACAGAGGGCATTATTCAAGTGCTGTATATAATTCGCTGCCTTCGGCGGATTCGTTGAAGACGTTGAATAGTCATGGGTATCCGAAAGATTACATACTTATCATCCAGACATCTTTTCTTTTCAAAACTCTAAAACGGCTAATAGCTATGAAGCCCAAACTGGGCGAAACGATGGCTTCTACACCCCAATACTGAAGGTAGTCATAATTTCGAACGGCGAATAAAAGATCCTTGAAAGAGCTTTGTGGTCGTAAATGGCCTACTATAGGATTGATTGCCCAGGTGGATGATATCGCACTTTTCATGAGGAATAAACTTTAAATAAATGGGGCTCGAAACTAGTGACTAACCGGCCACTAACAGTAAAGTGGACGGCTGAGTGTTGTCTTCGGCACGCATTGTATTGTGTTATTGCCGACAAACTGGTTCGTAAACAGTGGATTCGCTATAAGTCCTAACTGATCTCGTTCACAAGGAAGCTGGAGGTGGGTAAAATATGGGGTTATTTCAATTGAGATTATATTTCTAGAGTGCGCAGAGATGCTGGAGCAGCTACGATGAGCTGCTGTCTTTGAAAACAGTGGGGATCTTAAGACCACCCCCACTATGATGGAATTCAACTCCATGCTCAACAAAAGTCTGCGGTCAAACTTTGGGGAATAAGGTACTGAACGGAGCATAGGGGTGTTTCGAGCTCTCCTGAACTGCATATGTTACAGGATCTCATCGCAAAGGGTTCCAACTGAAGCTATCTCAATCGGTTAAGTTGCTAAAAGTCTACTACAATTTGTTAAAATTAATCCGGTTTTGTTTCAAATAAATTTTCGAATTGAAAATTTTTGTTTACTATCGTTAAAAAACGGACGCAGCGATGACAAGTACAACTACTTATGACACTGCTGTTTTCAATTCAGTAGAAGAATGTGAATTAAAATCATTGCACTAAATTTAAGTAGAAGACGCGCACAAGTTCGATTACGGGGCAGTTATTAATATTTTAACCAAAGTTGACACCAAAAGAAACTTTTTCGCTACCAACCAACTCTCTACTATTCAAAATGAAAAGGGAACTTATTAAAGAGAAGCTCAAGTGCCAATTGGCCATAACGTCAGTGCACACGTAAGCGAAAGTGTTTGTCACATATTAAATTGTCAGGAGGGTTGTGCTTCTGTTGCTTTGCTATTTTTCCCTCATCTTTATTTTTTTGCACACTTTCTGAGCTGCCATCCAGAATTGCACTGACGCATGGCAATGAAACAAACAACAAGAGAAAAAAATAACACTCTCCTGAATTTGTTGTCATTGCCGTTGCAATTGCTATCGGCTTCGGTGGTGTTGCTTTGGCTGTCAATGACAGATTGGGGGAAAAAATTGATGCAAAGGGAATGCAAGCGTTGGTGGAGCACATGTGGCGCGAGTTGGGCCATTTGCTAAATGCACTGTGCTCCCATATATGCAGTGGATATACTACATACATACATACATACGTATTCAGACAAACATTGATGCTGAACATTGGTGTTATTGTGAAATATGTATGTATGTGCTTATACCTATATGTACACTAGGGTGTTGCAGAATTTTGTTTGCGAAATTCGGTACACATATCCGTATTTTTTTTTTTGCTTTTGACCTAATAACATACATTTACTTAGCTCAAAATATTTCTTGGAATACTTTCTACCTGCAATTAATTGTTAATGGCTATCGATGACATTAGCCAAAGCACGTATCTCCATGTGCTAACTTCACAAAACTCTGTACCGATACATCCTGGGTGTCGATTTTTGAATTTTTTTTTTAAACTTGCAAATGCGTCACTTGATTACCCTCACCAACCTTCCGAAGTAAAATAAAGCCCAAATATATTTATTTTTTTTTTTTGACAAAATCCCGGAGTACAGGAACAGGCCAAACATATGGGTTAAGTAAACAAGTGTTGCTGCATAAAATTTCTTATATGGAGAAAACTTTCATGACTTAGATAATTGGATATGGAAAAAAACAGGCAAATGTTTACAATATGAATAAAGGCACCAAAAATCCGTATACATTGTCGGAAAGCTAAAAATCTTTACGTTGAATCCGTATAACCATTTTGAACACCGCAAATCCGTACCGTGCGGAAATATCCGTACTTCTGACAGGGTCGTTTAGCTCTGACCGCCCAAGAAGTTATAACTTAACAAAAATTAGATTTTATGCTAGTTTCACCAGAAATTTCCGAAACTTTTCGATTTTAGCAAGTAAGTTAGTAATTTGAACCGTTAGTTTTGTTATGCATAACTATTTACTGATATTTGCACATTAACGAGGGTATATAAGCCAGAATCAGGGCAGAATCGTGAGGATTATTAAATAAGATTCGAAAATCGAGAATCGATTATTTTTCAAAACTTTCCATCCCTATTGACTAGATTATGGAAATTCGGATTTTTTTATTTGTGTTTTGTATTTCGTATTTTATGTGCACTGAGAAAATAATTTAGTTACTCCAACTAAAAGGCAAGTTGGGACTTATTTTGTAAAAAATAGGCTCGGCTTCGTTAATCGGCCGACTGTTAAATCAAAACCAAACGTTCGGCTTCGGCCGGAAAATATAACTTCGATCGGACTGTAACCCTAATGTTCACATACGAGTATGTAAAAACCTACATTGAATGAATTTATGTGCCATATTTGGCGTTTTCATGTGCGAGTTGTGTTTGACTTCCATTTAGCGTGTTGTCAGTACAACGTCATGCCAAAGGACGTTAACGAGAGTACAAATAGCTATGCACATACATATGTACATATACATATATTTTTTAAGCCCCTGTATTGTAAAGCATCATCATTAGATCGCTGGAGGTAACTAAGGAGCGATCCTTAAGTTAGAAGCAATCATTATTTAATTAGATGCTATATAAGTGCATCGTTTTAAAATTAAACAAAAAAAAAACCAAGTGTTTTATAATACCTATAGCCGCTTCGAAATCCACCCTTGCACGCAGGTATTTTCATGGAAGACATTCTTTTTGGAAACTGTGCTCTTCTAGTAGCGCTGCCTTTCGAAGGCAAAGGAGCAGGCGTGTTTTGAAGGTAACGGAAGTAAAATATGTAAATGGAAAAATCGCTATGCATAAAATACGTTAACAGAATTACTACAATATAGATGCCAATAAAAATGGCTTTGAAAAAGATATATTTTTTTTTAATGATTTGTGGGAGAGTTGCCAGCTGTTTTAAAAACTACATTCATTTGAAATTAAGGGAGTTGGATCATTTAAATATGTATAACACTATGGGTTTCAGGTGAGAAAGGTTTTAGTTTGAAACTATTTTAAATAGGTTTGCCACCTGTTTGGAGTGCCTAATTTAATTAAAAGTTATGATCCTGTATGAGCGCGAACTTACCACTTTTTACCAGATTTTACTGGAAATTGATCCCGTATAAGATCATCTGTTTGTCAAAAGTTACCAGTTTTAGTCCGCAGATTCTTTTCTGGTAAATTCTGATTGAACTCTATTAAAAAATATTTAAGTAGCGCGTCTGATATCCATATTGTGCAACAAACTTTTTTAGTCTTGTGAGATCACATAAAATAAACCATAGAAATATAGCCAAAACTCTTCAAAGTAAGGCGAGTCTATTCTAATGACCGCCAGTGTATACAGTCATATTGAACAGAAGATCTAATTAAATAATTTTGTCCTGCTGGCTTGTTCTGAACGAATCACTGTTCGCTGTAGAAAGTTAATTAAGCACATTTTGGTGTTTATATTAGTGTTGAACGGGGAAAGATATTTACATACATATGTAGATCCATGACATACAATAACACATACAAATTTTCATTTTCGAAAGCCAAAGACACTTTACTAGAATAGCGTACACCCAATTTAAGTATTGAAAAGTGCTTAAATTTTGTTAAATATTTACGAAAAGCTAGCACTTTGAGATTTTTTCAACTCCTCACGAATATCTCCTACTTAGTTTCCAGTATAGCTAAATTTAACAAAGTAATTTTTAATCAACCTAAGCCACGTCAAATTATCTACACAAAATTGCATCGTGTCAAACGAGCATTCATGCGATGTCAAAAAGCAGTTCAAAAGTGCATAAAGAAAATTATAAGCAGCAGCAAAGTACTTACTCGCTTTCTGAAAGTCCTGTGACTCGTCGCAACCCGTACGACCGCAAGCGGAGGCGAGTAAAACACAAGCCAGCAGCAATTGTTCGCTCCAACCAAGTCGAAGCAGTAGCCAGTTGCGTGAACTGCTGCCGTTGTTGTTGTGGCTGCTGCCGTTGTTGTTGTTGTTGCTGCTGCACTTGGTGCTGCAGTAATCCTCTTGTGTTAGCATATCCCCGCCCGATGGTTTGCCATTTGCAATGGCAGTTCGGCTGCAACAACATTTTCTTCGCACACGATTCTGTTGCAGTCGGCAGCAAGAAGTTGTAGTTGTAGTTGTAGTTCTTGCTGTTGCTGTTGCTGTTGTACTTTTTGTTGTTTTGTGATTTTGCGCTGCAGGAGCAGTGACAAATGGGGAATTCCGATTGATAATGATTTGGGAGAATTGCGGGGTTGCCATTTTGTTGCACAAGTCTGCAATTCGTCATTTATACGCACCACAGAAAAGTTCTAATGCGGTTTCTCGTGTGGCTGCGAAATCTGTTTCTTTGGTGTTTATTTTCGGTACTTGCTACATACGACTTACATATGCATATGTGAGTATGTTATTTTTACTTCAAAAATTTTTGTTTTTTTTTTCTTCTAAGAGTTCTTGCTCTTGTTTGTTTTGTTGTTTCAACACGTATTGCTGATATGTTTTTCTTTCGTTTCGTGGCGAAAAGTACTAGGGCAATGGATTACTTGGTTGGCAACACAACAGCTAACGGTACTTGATGTAGCCAAATGTCATTGTGTCCAGAATTTTTGTCTCTTGTAATTGCAGTTTTTGCGGTATGTGCTGCAGCAGCAAAAACTTGGCATTACACATAATTACAGTGTTGCCACCTCTTTGCATGTGTACATACAACACTGCTTTTGCAGAAATATTCAGTATTCGATTTTTGTTTGTTTGTTTGTGTGTTTGTTTTTAGGTATGTAATTGCTGTTGGCTCAAATGACACAGGGCAGTGGCATTGGAACGACACAAAACTCTTGTTTTTTGGCTGTGAATGGCAACACTTTAGTTTTATGTCTTGAAATTGTATATTTTTGTTGTTGCCGCTATGCGAGTGGAACTATTTTAGCACTATTACCGTAACTACTTACTGACACTGCTTGGCGGAGGAAGAGCTGATGTCATTATATGTATGTAGTTGTAGCTCTGCTTTTGTTGCTATTTGCTGTTGTTGGCAGCAACATTTGTTTTAAATGAGCTTTTGCTGTTTGCCGCTTGCAATGCCATAACATTTTATTTCCCTGCCAAATATTTGTACACATTTGTTTTTGTACTGTTTTACTACTTTTACTTTTTATATCTTTGTGCTTTTTTCTTTCGCTCTAATAAGCAGTAAATATGCGCACTGCCTGGTGCTGGAGAGCAGAGCGATGTAGAAAGGTATGTATGTATGTAGTACAAGCACTTGAGCGACACGCTCTTAATGTCTTTTGTTTACTTGTTTGCCTGCTTTATCTTGCGCGACCCTACTTACTGGTTGTTTGTGCCCTTTTATTTTGTTGTATTTTATTTTTTATTTTTAATATTCTTACTCCTTAAATTTCCCCTTTGCTTTGCCTTTTCGGCAGTTGACACTCGATATTGCCGCTACCACTTGTACACTCAAGGTCTGACATTCACAGACTTGAAATCGCTCAGGCGTTAACCGAGTCCTGTCGCTGGAAGGTCCACAAGAATCTGAAAAATTGGTAGAAAATGCAAAACAATTATAATTTTATATTTCAATAATTTGGGTAGCAAATAAAATAGGCGACACGCAGGGCAAATGGGCAAATGGAATGTAAATAAATACATACATATGTACATATTTGTTTAGATATGAAAATGTTCCGATTCGGTTAAAACCTAATTTTCTATTTATACACAGCGCACCTTTTATTTAAATGTAGCAGCTGCTTATTTGGTTGCAACATTTATTGCACCGTACAAAAAAATCAATAAACTTAAAAACATACAAATAATCAATATAAGTACTAACGAAAGTATGGACCAGGATCTCTCCAAATTTTCACGATATGATTAATTTAAAAAAATATTTAAAAAAATCAGTGCAGTGTAGAATAATGACATGGATACCAAACGGCCAAATTATGTCGATTTTTAGCTTTTATGGTTTACAAGGAATTTTATTTTTATACCCGAGCACACTTGTGCATATGGGTATTATAAAAGATAACACACGATAACTTGAGCAAAAATTTAGATATCTTAACGAAACTTGGTATGTGTACTACTTTTGAACTTAGGACGGATGATGTTGAAAATGGGAGATATCAGACTATAGCCACGCCTACCTCCCATTTAATAGTAGTTTTAAGAATTACGCAAACTTTAATATTTTAGTAACTACGAAGCTTGTACACTCAAAATTTATATGTATTTACAATAATCTCTTGAGGGAAATTAAGAATTTTATACATTTTTGGAAAATGTGTATTATCTCAGTTGTTGATACTGATAAAACATACCAAAAATGATTAAAATCGTATTGTACTTGTTGTATTGTATTGTATGTAAAATGTTGAAAATTTACGAAATCGGACTAAAACTACGCCCACTTTTCATATAACGGTAAATTTCAGAAATGCTTGAAACATCGATATTTCGAAATTTAAGGACGTTGGGTTACTCAAAATTGATACAATAATCCCTTACGATGTACATAGATACCGGTAGTTTTCAGTAAGGTGAGAAAATATATTCAATATGTGCGGCGGGTATTTAATATTCGGCTTTGGCCGAACTTAAACTTTTTTACTTGTTGTTACTAAAATGTGCAAATACATATGTATACAAATTTTAGTTGTATGTTATTTTTAAAATAAATAAACAGTTTTGAATTTAAAATCATAAGTTTTTTGTTAATCAACAATTTTTATTGAGCTTCAGGCCATTTCTACTGAAAACCATATGCCGAATTTCCACTAGGCATTGAAATGACACAAAATGTATGCCATTTAAAAAAATGCCATGCGGCAATGAACTTAATGACTATTTCTTTAACGTAATAACACGATTATTTTTTAATGCCCAACTTTGTCATTGGTCATTTTTGCCATTTAATGCCTAGTGGAAATTCAGCATTATTGTGGAAAAGCAACAATAATTTGAAAAAAACGGTAGAAATGATAGCTATTTCGGACCACATTTCCTCATCAGATTTCTTTCAGTTTTTTTTTTTTGTTTATTAATTTGATTTCAAAGATGTGTAATCAAGGTATGTATGCATGTATGTTGATTCTTCAGTCTTTCTAGTGTTAATAAACACATATGAATATGTATACAATATACATATGTATAAATATTAGGATTAAAGATGCTTTCCAAAATTAATTAATGCAAGGCAGCACGATCTATTTTTTTTTTTAAAACTGCGAAAGTTTTGTTTACTATGCGTCTAAATAAATAATTATCATAGCTATTCGGCGCACTTGTATTATTCACTATTTCATATGTGAATCGACTCATAGCTTTGGGTTTAACATATTTGAGAATATACCTACATACACTTTAATTATTAATTTTGACTAGGCGAAATAGCAAGCTGCATACTTAAGTACACTGTATATGGATTGAGGCGTGATCCCTTGGTACAAGGATAATTAGTTTCACTTCCTTTGATATGCAAGGCTTCACTTGATGTGTAGATTATACAACCACACGCGTTCATTCATGCCCTTTTTTGTGTAAAGTTTTCCTTTTGTTTGTTTTTTATTCAATTAATTTTTTATAAGAAATTTAGCAACACACCAACACACTTTTATTGCATTCTTTACACAAAATTGCCTCATTCATGCAAAAAAAATATAACTCATTCGCGCTTAGTAGCGAACCTTTGAAATCTGTATAAAGTTAGCGAAACAACATGAAGAACAAAATCTCATATATACCCATGAATCTTCCGTTTTTTGTCGTTGATTAGTTGTGGAAAAAATAATTCTGTCGGCAAATTATGCAACTAAAAAATTAATTGTTTTTATTATTTTTAACTAATTTTTAAGCTCTTTTCAAAAAAAAAAAAACGGCAAATTCATGGGTATATGCGACATTTGTTTCTTCATGTTGTTTCGCTTACTTTATACACTTTATAATATTGATGGATCATCCAATTGTCAAAAGAAATAAATAAAATAGTAAAGAAATCACTTTATCGACAAATGCAAAATCGTAAAGTTTTAAGTTATTCTCGTCAAAGGCGAAGCCGTAAGTTCATGAGGCCGATTTTCATTCGCCTAGGCATGTACGAGTATGTATGTATGTATGTAGAAGCATATCTGCCCATATAAATATATAGATGCGCATAATTGCTGGAGTGTAATAGAAATAGCGCAAAATATTATTTTTAGTTCAAATAAAAATCTCTGAAAAACTATCTTCCAAAGGAGCCTTAACCGCTTATTGTACTAAAAAAATCACACGAAAAATAAGTGCAACTTTTTAGAAACTAAGCAAAACTTTAAAGGCTCGATGCTATTCATAGATACATATGTATGTATGTATGCATGTTTAAAAATTTCATTGCGTTAAAGCCGTCGTCGTTCACATTTGTCACACACACACACTACACTCTGTGGCCAATTGATGGTTGAAAACATTGACAAAAAAAAGAAAACAAAATTTTAATGGCTGTTCTAAAATAAAATATTCACGCTATGAATATTCTACTACTTTTATTGCGTTCCCAAAAAAATGCGTTTTTTTCCAAAGCATTCAGCCCGCTCCGTTTGCTCTCTTTAAGCACTTTCGTTTCCGTTGTTCGCTGTTTTCCTCCCGAGGGCTAAGCGCGCATTTACATTTTTATTTCCTCGCCAGCTGAGCGGTGGTGGTGGTGAAAAAAATAAGAATGAGTTGAAAATAAATAACTATACAAAAAATCAACACTTTTATTACGTGTCAAACTTTGTTGCAGATGTACTCATAATAAAAGAATAACAGCAGGATAACGGCAATTAACTTACTTCGAAAAATGCTAGGAAAAAATACAAATGTGAAAAGAGGTTGTTGAAAAGAGAAAAAAGGCAATAATAATCAACACCAATGTTCGCATGATGGCAACCCCAATTTAAGTCAGTTAAAGTGCCGCACACGCGATAAACAAATAAACAAACAAAGTAATTATTTACACGCATGGCTTCTATACGTATGTACATACATATACATACATATGTAAATATATGTAAAGTCCTTGAATGGTTCATTAAAGGGTGAAGTGTCGCAGGTTTTGTTGATTTAATGAAGGTACACGGTGCGCGTAGAGTGTGCGAACGATGCCTATTTAGTCTTTACGCTACATTGAAAACGAATCAAAATACAAAACTATGTTAATATATCTACGCATGCAGGTACATTTACATATACATACTGTTACTCTCGAAATTGAGCGTACGGCTATTTTTGTTAACATTTGTTACATTTTTTTTTTGTTAATTTTGTTTTAAAATATGGCTTATGTTTTAGCGAATCCCATTTACATCCAAGAATGATACTGTGTACAAAAATCAAGAATAATCTGCAAAGTTTCAGAAAAATCGCGAACTTTTTAAGTCGAAGCTCTAAAAAGACTTCCGGTATGCAGTTTAAATTTTAGTATAATATTGTGCAAATTTCAGATGTCTGAAAATTCGCGTTGATTTTTGAAAAATTTTTTGCAAGCTGTCCTACGCATTTTTTTTTTCATATAAAAAAAAATCTGAAAATTACGTGACAGTCAACAAAGTAAAAGGTGAAACTAAATTTGTGGAAAGATGGTCAAAGGAATTTAGTGACCCTTATATCACCAAGGCCCTGTTTAGAACATTAGTTAGACGGTTTCTGCAAGATAGAATCAATTCAAAGTTCCAGTTCGCATCTCCTGGCTGAAATTAGCCCTGATGTCCCTTGCTTGTAAACTGTCATGCGCACTGCGACCGATGCTCGGTTAACTCTCTCTGCCCATGGTGCAGGCGTCCCGCTGTCTTCTTGCAAAAACCGACTCAAATCAGCTTTCATTGAATTGGCCAACGAAAAATGGGCGCAGACACCCACCTGCTTCGTTACTAAGTATTTATCAATGAAAAAATGTCTTAAAGTGTATTCGGACAGGCCGCTAATCGAGCTTTCTCGAT